ATTAAGAAATTTTATTTTGTATGTTATTCAAAATTTAGGGAATAATAATAATAATAATAATAATAGTAATAATAGTAATAATAATAATAATAATAATAATAATAATAATAATAATAATAATAATAATAATAATAATAATAACAACAACAACAATAACATTAATAATAATAATAATAATAGTAATAATAATAATAATAATAATAATGATAATAATAATAATAATAATAATAATAATAATAATAATAATAATAATAATAATAATAAGGTATCATTTGTACGACGCTTTACAATCTATATTATTATACAATTTTTACCCCAGCAGACCAGACATCCATTCTGAAACAATCTCAACTAAAACATCTGAACAGCAGGCCAATTTCGTTATACTCGTAGTGCATGCAGTACCTGCTACGGTAACATCAACTTCTCAAAGTCAGTCAAATTATGTGGTGTATCTATCGATTTCTAATTAAGTTCGGCTCCGGGTAACCAAGTATCTTAATCTTTTAATAACCTCCTCAGCATGGCATGTCACTTTGATCCTTCTTCATGAGAAACACCATATCAAACACAACCCACCCCCCCAAAAAAAAATAAATTTTTTAAAAAATAAAAAAATAAAAACCCCACCCCCCAAAAAACAACCCCCCCCCCCCGTCTTAGTAATGAGGTCGTAACCATTAGAATCAATTCCCCACAATAAAACTGAGATAACCCATCAATGGGGATGGGGAAAGGGGTTAGATAAGCTACAAACCTGTCAGTTACGCACAGGGAGAAAAAAAAAGGACATGAGCTGTTATGCCTCCACCCATTAAATCCCCTCGCTCCAAACACCCCCCCCCCCTCCCCCTTTCCGACCCAAATTCCTGTCTCTCCTTCCCTTCCATTTTAGCTTTGCGTGCAGACAAGACATTGTTATAGCTAGCTGATCTATAATACCAAGGTGAGTAACCGGGTATCCTTGAAGTTGAAGTCATCCTTGCTGTGGCGTCACTATCCATTATTGAGGGTTGAGATCGGTCCGCGTTTGTACCTGAATCATTGAGAAGTTAACAACAGCATCGGTTTTTTTATGTTCAGTGCGTTTAAGTCAGTTGTTTTTTATATTTGTTCCTTTTTGGTGGGGGTTTTTTTCAGTTCTCTCGTAGTTTATTTTTTAAAACCTGTCAGCTTACGAACCTTACGTGGATTTTTCGAGAAGCTGCGTGACTAGAAGAAGGTGAGATAATGGTGACGTGAATGTCTCCTTTGAAGCGCTCTGATTTGGCAGTGTCCCGTGTTACTTAGAACACTTCTTTTTGATTCGTAAAGAGGAGGTCTGCAGCAGAAAAAACAGAGTTTTAAGTATTAAATCCTGGAGATCCAGAAGGAGCTCTTAAATGGCACTTCTTTTTGTTCTAGGCTTTTTAAAAATTGTTTTTGTTTTAGGTTTTTTGTGATTAAATTTTTTAAATTATTATTCTTTTTCTTTTATTTCCTTTTTTTTTTGGGGGGGGGGGGGTTGTTTTTAAAGTAAACGTTATTATGTCCCCATCGACAATATTCAGTTCGTTTTGAAAGCGGGTTTCGACCTTACCTGTCGGCCGACCTAGGTTAGCGAGGAAACAACATACCAGCAAAAAGACCGAGAAACTCGATGATATTTTTTTCTTTAAAACTTATCCCCACCCAGAAATCGACCTCGGGACCCTTGCGTGCTACGGCCTGACCGTTTCACTACTCACACCCATGTCTTCCTTTTTTTGTGTGAAAGAGAACAAAAGGGTAAAATTCGAACAATGTCAGAAATCCGGATTTCATGATTCATTCCGGAAAATCGGTTCCTCAACCTTACGCCAAAATCGGTCTCGTCCTCCTTCTGTTTCTCTTTCTAAAGACCACAACTTCTTAATTCTTTATTTCCCCTTCCCGATCATGTTGCTCCTTCTCAGACCCCCTCCCCCCCTCTCTCCCTCCCTCTCTCTCTCTCTCTCTCTCTCTCTCTCTCTCTCTCTCTCTCTCTCTCTCTCTCTCTCTCTCTCTCTCTCTCTCTCTCTTTCCCCCTCTCTCTCTCACTCTCTCTCTCTCCCTGCAGTGAATTGTGGTGTTTGTGATCATAACGAGTTGCTTGCTCTAATTTCCGTTACTTTACTTTACTACTCTTTTGACCATGCTAGCGATACTACGTACAACACTGCGCTCACCTATAGGTAGGTAGGCCTATGGCTTTATTTCAGGGGGGGGGGGGTTGTGCTGCTCTGCTCAAGGTACGACTTTTTTGTATGGCTGTGTGTGTGTGTGTGTGTGTGTGTGTGTGTGTGTGTGTGTGTGTGTGTGTGTGTGTGTGTGTGTGTGTGTGTGTGTCGGTGGGGGTGGGAGGGGGGTGAAGAGGTGTATATAAGGTAAATCCCAACGAGTTTTGTCGTTCCAAATATAAAAATATAGCATAGCCCTACTATTGTATTCACGTAATCTAAAAGTTCCACCTGTACGCTACTAATTATACTAAAGGTCTAGTTGAGGTCTCCATTCCGAACTCACTTCACCTACTATTCTCATTCAGAGTGTCCACTCTCTTTGGGGCAAACATACGGAAAGGGGAGGGGGGGAGGGTCGCCTTGACCTCATGTACCAAAGATGATTTTAAGTTCAAAGAGATCTCTTCTTAACCTTTACTACAGTTACAAGGGGAACTAATATATCTGTGTGAACAATAGAATTTCAGTTCTTTTAAATCGTAAAATGAGCAAATAACAAACTGAAAAAGACACTGACTTGAGAAAAGGGATAAAACGCAGGTTCGGGGAGAGGTGGGGGTGGCGCGTGAGAGGTGGAGATCTAAGAACAGATGAGGGGGGGGGGGTATGCTGCTCTTTGCATTTTATAGAAAAGAAAAGCTGATTGAATTATAGCCAGTGAACGCTGATAACTTATTTGTTTTGTACAAAAACACTGTTTCTCCATTTGCACGTGCATACATCTTTTTGAATTATTACACTTTTTTCTATGCATCTGATTGTGTATAATAAACATTGTCTCTTGTGAATGCTGTCTTTTGTCAATTCAGAAATTGCTTTGCAGGCCAATAAACAACGGCTGGTTACAAGAATCGGTGTTGTCATTAATCTTTCTAGCTTTTAATAAGAAGCTGCAAGCAATGCTAAATCAATATTGTTTGCTTTATGAACATTATAATGTTGTTGTTTTTTATTGGGGTTGGTTTTCTTAAATTTTTCAACTTGTAAATTAAGTTTTGCTCTGATGAAATAAGATTAGAATCCCGATACGGGCTGAATTACGTTATGATTTTAACATTTCAATACAAAATTTTCCTAAAAGAATTATTTTATGAAAAGATGAGCATCTAATCAAACACAGTTTTTTTCTTTTCATTTATTCCTCACACTTCTGCACCTTCATCATCTCCTCCTCCTCGTCGTCGTACTCCTCGTACTCTTCTTGCTCCTCCTACTTCTTCTTCCTCTTCTTGTTCGTGTTGTTCTTCTCCTTC